TTAATAGAAATAAAAAATATAGAAAAAAAAATTATGTGAACTTATTTTCATAAAATTATGTTAAACCTAATATTATGTTATCTAGATACTATTTAGTTAAAATTAATATCCTATCCCAAACAAAGCAATTAATTTACTTAAATGTAAATACATATGAGAACTTACCTTAAAACCTAACTGTCCATAATAAAACAAAGAATTTAAAAGTTATTTCTTTAGTTAAATCGTAGCCAATCGATTTTCATTAAGTTTTCGTAATTTATATTCGATAGCACATAAACAACAAATATTTGGCCAATGTTTAGAGTATGCATTTCATAACAATAATCACATTTACATATATTTACATTTTAACAGTTTTGATTTTATAATATAACAAACAACATAAAGATGTTTCATTTTCATTTTATTATTTTAACCTAGAACTAGAGCTTTCTTTCACATGCTATTACCGGTTTGCACACGCTTTTAGAATGATTTGTGTATCTGTAAAATTCGATGATGACACAATGAAACCTGTTTAACGGGCAGTGTTAATAATCTCTAATCCTATTAAATTTATATGTCAAGGTTTATAGCTTAGGTTAGCAACATCGAATCATTTAAAACATTTTATCACTTGTATTATGTGATGTAGAGCCATGTTAGCTCAGAGGCTGAGTGCTCGTCGTAAATTTCACGGTTCGTGTACCAGTGTTCGACCCCAACCGCATCAACGAAATTGTTGACCGAGAGGAAACGCAAGTACAAGTCTGAGCAATACTATTTAATGAATGAAGAAGAACTGCCACTACAATAATTAATGTGCGGTATAATAATATCCACTACCTCATATCGTCCCGTTGGTATTGCAAGAAGCGACAGAGGAAAGCAAACCAACGTCTTCCTTACAACTAAAAATAAACTGCCTGCTAAGCTGGCAATCGGGTTGCTTGGGAGGCGGTTAACCAACCGCAGTAGGAGGACGCTCCTGCGTATCTCCTGGTTTGCTTATGATGATATGGGGTTGTGGATATTCTTTCACCGCCACTACACGGTGATGAACAGTGACGGTGATAGTTGAAAAATATTTCGAGTACATGTAAGTCCGCTAACATGCACTGGAGCATCGTGGCGGACTATTCGCTCCATAACCCTCTCAGGAGAAAAAAAATTTCGTACACATGACCAATTTGCTCAGTATTCCTACTCCTAAGTAATTAATGCTAACCTACGTAGACATTTTCTTATAAAATTCTGACAAACGAAATTGGTCTTTATTTATTATAATTGGTATTTACATATTATGGATAACGGCTACTGCAGCCCATGGACACCTGTAACTAAGTTCAAACAAAGAAGGCTACAGGTGTCATCTCTTAGGATTAAGACGGAATACTGTTAGGAGATCTGCGCGCAGTATAGAGGTCTACGGTAGGCTGTTACTTTAGTTTATAGTTTTCTTTTAATAAAAATAAACTTATAATACTAAATTTTAAAAGTCTTACATAAAGAAGTTGGTTTTTCCAAAATTCTTCCAGCTTTGGTACTAATTCGCTCGACAATTGCAGCAGCAAGGTAACGTTTTCGTACTCACACATAGTACTGAAAGAAGGCTGCGACAACGATTCACATTTCTTTACATTTTTCAACTATACATAAATCTAATTTCAAATCTTCTAATGTATAAAAATTAATATTTGTTTCTTTGTATTTGATCATTTTATTCACTGCCATACCGTTCATCGGATTGCACTAAACCTTTGTCAACTTATTGCTTGTAGGTACTTGCGCGAAGGTTATAGGTAAAGTACAATTAACTTACACTAGGTGGAGCGTGTATCATACCTACAAATTTATTTGAAAGTTATAAATCGTTCAACTTCAGTGAATGTAGGTATTATCAATACTAAAAAAACAATATATCTTCCAAATTTAAAACGATATTTCCACAATTGTTTGTTCTGCGGCTACAACGAGCCGGGTACCTGCTAGTATTGTATATGTATTTGAAGACCATCGATCACTAATAAAAAACTAGATACACAATCCCATGTAAAAGTTCTCTAAAAACTGTCGACAATTGTTTTGACGTAATTCTAGTTGAAATAAATATACATTAATGTAAATTCACCCTTAAACGCATTGCCTAAAGTTGTATTCACAAAGCTACGTACAAATTAAAAGCGCACCCAAATGTTCGAGTGGGCGCTCATTCGGTAAGATCATTTTTGTCACTGATTGTGTATCTAGTTTTTTATAAGTAATCGATGATGACGACCCAAAAAGTTGCCATTCGAAATTTCATAAAACAAACGACAGCGACTGTGTAAATAAGTTATCGCACAAGCATTTCACTGAAGCCGGCATTCGTTTTGTACAGAAAGGCCTAATCCTAATTTATTAAAAGGGTCCTTGCTATATAAATATGTTATGTTCTATGTATGTCTGGAGATTAATTTTGAAGATTAATGAAATTATATACTTTAACTGTTTACGATAGTTTTTGGTTCAGTTTCTCTCTGTCACCTCTTCGAACAATTGTAATTACAATTTTTAATCTGTAACACTCATAAAACTCATTACTCATAAAACCACATATAACCAATATAAAACTGAAGTTGGTGCATAAAAAATTGTTATTCATAACATAAAATATAGTTGATGATTTCTTATATATTTACTCGAACGCTACACATCGAATAAAACTACTTTTACGGATTTATTCGCGGTTAATTAACTTATTTATCATATTTTTATTAATTCCCGACGTTTCTGATGCTTTACAGCACCCGTGGAAGTTTGTTATTCAGTATTGTTATTCAGATACATGGGGAGATATAAAACTTTTATTTGCATACTATAATAATATATTCTCGTTCGAATGAACTGCTTTTCAATGTCCAACTGTGTAACATTGTAAAGCCTGTATGCATTTCCAGAAACACGAGAATTTAGCGCAGGTACAAAACAAAAAGTGTCGGATATGCCGGCAACTATGAATGAGATGTTGTATAGCTTTCAGTGCAGCCGTACGAAATATAACATTTTCTCATTTTCGTTTTCTTTAATTAAATGCACCATATTTTTACAATTTTCATCTACCTTCCCCTTTTCATATTTCTTTACCTATATAGAAACAGAAATAGAAACTTTTTTATTCAATAAAGATTATAAATAATACTTATTGAAAGTCACTCTTGTTGTTTAGTTACCACTGGTTCGAAAAAAAAAACCTCTGTCCTGGGAAGAACCAGCAAGAAACCTAGCGGGACTTTTTTTTAAATAACAGCTTACAATCATATATGTTACACAAATTAAAAATACAACAAATTAGAAATAGCTTGGTAGCGATCCTACTACATACTAAATTAACCAAGTTTAGGTGTGACCAAGTGATGGTGTGAGAATATCCACTACCCTATATGGTTTCGTAGATGTCGTAAAAGGCGACAGAGGGAATCCAGAAACTGGACAGAAGCGTCTTTATAATAACTAATAGAAAATAAACAATGCGGTTACTAACCAAGCGTGGCAACTATGTAAAATTTCCCCATGGGGGAGACATATCTTCAGCGATGGACTTTGATAGGCTGAAATGGAGACTCTGCTACATGGCTGAGTGTCATCCAGTTATTTTAGGGGAATTCAAATTCCAAATAAAGACACATTTTGAGCAGATAAGCTTTTTTTTTCTACATGTATTGTGTTAGCACTCGTCCCTCTAAAGAGCATACGAAAATCTCTCTACGATCGTGTATTACATAAGATTTACATTAGAACCGACAAGGTTCCTAATGGATTGAATTTAAGAGATTGAGCTAAAATTTAGTACACTGTATAATAAAATCCGTGCCGAATAGTGTCGGCGGAAGATAATCCGTCACCGCATTACGTCCCATGGGTGCAGTAAGAATCGCACATGGGAAGGATCCATAAAGATATTACGGGCTGCTGAAGAAGAAAAATATTTACATTAAAACATACATACGTAATGCACATCTATTTTTTAAGCTGTTTGAAATGAGAACTACTTTAAAATCGTTGTGATTTGGAACGAAATGAAAAAGCGACACAAAAAAGAGACAAATATACACATCTATCAAAGTATCAAGCCTGCGATGGAATAAGACAGAATAATATTAAATCAGTCATGTTCAGGCCATCAAGCGTCTATTTTACGTACCTACCTTGAGGGTCAATCAATTTTTGTTCGATAAAATTACTTCACCTATAGAATGAAGTAGATGGCGCTGTTACAAAACAATTTTACTCATAATTTTCTGAAGGTTTTAAATTCTATCGCGTGTGAACTGCACGCATGTTTTTTTAACTAGTTTGGCAGTATTTCACCCCCGTACATTAGAAAGCAAGTAAAGCCATTGGTGTTCTGTCTGACCTCTGTCCGATCGCGTCGGATTGCCGTCATATGGGTCTATGAAAGTGAGGGAATAGAGAGTGCATCTGTGCTTACGCACACACCGAAATTCGGTCTGAAGGACAATTACATTATTTTACATCTTATATTTATATATAATAATAATATATATGTAAATCTAATACATAATAATGATAATAATTGTGCATAAATGTGCAGCAATTTCTAGATTCTACACTTCTATTTATTTCCATTTTTCCGTAGTTATTATCTAATATTTATACGTGGTAGAGCCATGCTGCAGCTATGTTATGGTTTTAGAACGAATGGGTCGGATCAACCGGGGAAGGACCACGCTCTCACAGAATACCAGCGTAAAATAGCAGCTTAACGCTGCTGTGTTTCGTATGGTGAGTGTAGAGAACCGAAGACCCTTTTTACTGGAAACGAGGCATTCCATCTTAGTCCTTACGGGTGACAACGCATCTGCATTTTGATTCGTAATTGAAGATAGATGTAAATGTCTATAGACCACAGTAACCACTTACCATCAGGTGGACTGTGTGCTCGTTTGTCACCCTTATATTATAAAAAATACCATTTTAAATTATTTAATTTAATTGAACACTTAACCTTGTTATAGGAAGAAAACATAGCTCTTCGACTTATAAAACAACACGCTGATGTGGAGGAGACAGAGAGCAGCCCAGCTTCCTCCGAGGACTCGTACGGCACAGGAAGCACGGGCAAGACTTACTTCGATGAAGGGGGTTACGTGGCGGGTGGGGTGAGAGACCACGACCCTTACGTGCGGAACCGTTTCAACCAGGCTGCCTCTGACAACCTGCCGAGTAACAGGGCGATACCTGATACGAGAAATGCTATGTAAGTTGATTGCTAATTAATGATATATCGTCGCCTTGTATATAAAATCCCGAACAAAAGGAGTTTTGAATTCATAACATTAAATTAAAAATACGACAGTAATAATTTTATTTTCTTAGCCTTCCATACATCAATCATTGCAGAGTTTTAAGATCCCACTGCTGAAGATAGGGTTCCCACAAAAAAATGCGTTATAGGAGGCATAATATTTGTCATAATTGCCAACCTTGGCAGGCCCGTTGGTAATAATAAGTTTGCCGTGTAAATCAATCCATTACACCGTTACGTCCTGGGAATGTAGTACGCTTACAGTCTATCAAAGTCTATTGCTGAATATAGGCATCTCAATAGATTGCTTCATATTTGAAGTTTTGTTATAGTTGCCACGATTGGCAGGCACGTTGATAACGGCATTTTTTCTATTTTTTGGTTGTTATAAGGATGACGCTGCTGCCCATCTCCTAGTTTATTTCCATCTATCGCCTCTTACTTACACTAACTATATTGACGACTAGCTGTTCCCCGCGACTTCGTCCGCGTGTTTTTTTGGGTTTTAATTTTTTCGTGCAGAACCCTAATTCTTTTTCTAAAATAAAAGTAGCCTAAGTTACTCCTTGTGGCATCAGCTATATGCCAGTGAAAATCCCGTCAAAATTGGTCCAGCCGTTTCGGAGATTAGCCGAAACAAACAGACAGACAGACGGATAGACAGACAAACACTAAAAATTGTATATTTGTTATTAGTACCGTATATACCTTCATATGCATTTAGTAAAAAGCTGTAATTTTGACATTAGAAACAGACACTACAATTTTATTTATTTGTATAGAGTATAGATATGGGGTAATGGATAGGGTTGCCACCCATACTATATTTTTTATAGAATTAAGGTGACAAACGAGCACACAATCTATACTTAAAAGGCTCTCCGGTTCTCTACACTCACCATACGAAACACAGCAGTATTAAGCTGCTATTTTATTTTATTTGTAGGTGTAAACTTGAAATGGCCATATTTTATTTAAATTCTGCTTATTTTATCTTTTTTCATCCTTTGTTTAAATTGTCTGCAGTTAAATAAAAGTATACTTTGAAAGCAATTGTATCAAAGAAATTAATTCTTAAATTAGAATGTTGTTAGATAATGTGGTAAACATAAAAACGGATTTAGTAAGCATAACGATTATACCGTCTTTTATTCGTCTTCAAATTAAACATGTTTTTTAAACAAAAAAAATAAAGCTGTAATATACATTTTTATATGAACACTCACCCGAATTGTTGACCCATAAGAAGTGAGCTAAATAAGTGGGTCGGTTCGACCGGAAAAGGACACCGCATCGCTTCGTATTGTTTAATAATGAGAACCGAATACTCTTTTTACCAGTGGTATTCCATCTCCATCATCAAGAGTGACTGTGCATCTGCATGTTGATTTCCAATCCAGGATAGTTGGGATGTATATAAACTACAGTACAGCGATATGATTTGGACACCTTCAAAAAAAGAGCCTACTGTTTTCTCAAAGTCTGTCTACAATACACCTACAATTCGTCTGCTGTTGCAGATATATACGGCAGTAAACTCTTCGTTCGTTTTGTTCGTTTTCGATCGTTTGTCTCTTTCTTTAAACAAAATATTCCCATAAATATCAGATTTTAATCGGTAACCAGATTGCTATGCCGAATTCAAAAAAAAAACTTAAATTTATTGTAACATAGACAAAGAGATAGCAGAGAATTAAATCAAATGTTTGTTTTTAGGTGCCGTTTAAAGAAATACGACGATGACCTCCCGGAAACCAGTGTCATAATCACGTTTCATAACGAAGCGAGATCGACACTCCTGCGCACTATCGTCAGGTAAAATTTCTTTAATTAAACTTTTAATAAGGTTATCTGTTGAGAGAATTGTAAAGAAATATTCGAATAGGGAGCCAAAAAGGGAATGTTGAAACTAAAACTCATAGTCTTCTATTCGAGATATCTTATTCTCATAAAGTCATATTATTTTGTTACGTAGTAGAGCCATGCTGCAGCTACATTAGTAGTATAGTTGTAGCACGAACGGGTCGGCTCGACCGGGGAAGGACCACGCTCTCACAGAATACCAGCGTAAAATAGCAGCTTAACGCTGCTGTGTTTCGTATAGTGAGTGTTGAGAACCGGAGACCCGTTTTTACTGGAAACGGGTCATTCCATCTTAGTCCTCACAGGTGACAACGCATCTGCATTTTGATTCGTAATCAAGGATATATGTAGATGTCTATGGGCCACAGCAACCACTTACCATCAGGTGGACTGTGCGCTCGTTTGTCACCCTTTTCCTATAAAAAAAAATTAGAGTCTTTGTAAAACGTGTAAGACAAATAGCTTTAGAAATTCAATGTGATGTTTTGTCTATATGCATAAAGCATAAAAAATAAGAGGTGGTATGTGGTATATGCAGAGATCTGCTAAAGATGTCTTGGTAGAACAGAGCATGAAATAAGCATTATTTTATTAGTATAGCTTTATTATCTTCATCAGCCCGTAAGAGTCTCCTATTGTAGGGAGTCTAAATCATCACGACTGGCAGGAGGATGGACGAAAGCAGCACCGGACATCTTGCAGTCTAAGTGTATTTTACGTATGGTATTTTTTTATAGGAGAGGGGGCAAACGAGCATGCGGCTCACCTGATGGTAAGTGACTACCGCCGCCCATGAACAACTGCAACACCAGGGGAACCAGGGGAATTGCAGATGCGTTGCCAGCCTTTTAAAAAGGAGTAGGCTCTATTCTTGAAAGTACCTAAGTTGAAATGGCTATATCGCCATCTGTCGGAAACCAAGAGTTCAGTTCAACATTAACCAATTCATGATCATCACAGCTCATTAAAATCTACTGCTGAACACAAGCTTACCCTTAGATTGCCTCATAAAGGAGATATTTGCCATAATGGCAGTTTTTTATTCTAATTATTATTAGAAAAACAATGGCCATCTCTCTGTTTTGATTTTCTCCGCCTCGTACGACAGCCCACGCCACGATATGAGGTAGTCGATATTCTTACACCGCCACTACACTGTAAGTTAACCAATAACATTAAAGAAATTTGATCACGTATTCAAGGCTGTTATGCTGTGTAATTAGTTGAATTTAGAGCACCAGCGACACTAGCTATTACAAATATTGATAATAACACTACATGTATTTCAGTGTACTGAACCGAAGTCCGGAGCATCTGATAAAAGAGATCATTCTCGTGGACGACTTCAGCGATAACCGTGAGTAAATTATTCTTAATAAAGATAATAAAAATTGTAATCATTACTCTGTGAGTGTACTGACAATGTTTACTATAATTTTCTTATTATTTTTGGCACCTATCACATTATTTCCAGTCGTCCCGGTTTGATTGGGAGAGAATGCCAATAAGACATTTATTCCGCCCTTTGTAATCCTTTTTATTAAGGTGTACAATAGAGAATAAATAAATAAATGTTGCACTTTATAAATTTTATTTACCTATACATAAGGCTAAACATTGTTGCCCTTTACAAAATATGTGCATTACTTTTAATTATATTTGTCTGTGTTTCCGTCGCCATCATCAATATGAACGAACTTGGTTTTAAAATTGTATGCGTAAAAATACAAAAACTTTCACATTAGTTACCCAAAAGGGACGTACGGCCCTGAGCCTCCTGCATACATTGACAGCATGCGTGTTTCATCAGGTCGTCACTCTATCTAGTAGGGCAATATATGAGGGAGGCCTATGTTCAACAGTGGACTTGTGATGGGCCATAGAATTATAAATTGTATTTCTATCGGCTTCGTCGATGCGAATAAATGTGGTATTAAAAATCAATTTATTAAAAGAAAAACATAAACTCTAACGTTTGTCACACAAATGGGTATAATTTGTCACGATCCTGACACAGTTCGCTCGATTCTTTCACATCAATATTTCTACGCTTAATTTGGCCCATCTTCAATATATCGCTAATTTGGTCGATAAACTTAAAATTACTTAACGCCTAGCCAAAGGTCAAAGGGCGTACAAAGTTTATTCATAGTGTTTCAGCATATTTATAGTTGTATTAACAGGTTGGAGAGGCAATGGCCCGTCTAAATATATTAAATAATCGACGACCGATGTGGAAGAAATGTCCTCTAGTGGCAGCTTCTTACTGACAAGCGCAGTGTTTTGCGACCCCCCACTAGATAAGACAAAATATGGGGAGTCGATGAATACAGGTGGCTCAGGTCCATGTTTTGTGACATTTCTAGAGGGAGGCCTACATTCATTGTCGTAATGATGAGGGTGATGATATCTGAAAACATAAAACGTTTTAAACGCTTTCTAATAATTATAACATATTTAATTACAAATAACTCTTATCGAAACCGGAACGTTCTGTGTTTTCATTTGAGTTGAGCTTACTACGTTGAATATGCGGCAGAAATACTAATTTAACTAAGTAGCGTATTTTACTACGTGACAAAAGTTAAAGGCCACAGTTGATTAACTACTATAAATTTTGTATAAAAAGGGTTATTATAATATTAAGGAATTTACGGATGATAATATTTCTAATTTATTTTGGGTGGTTAATTGTGTAACATACATGATTGTAAGCTGTTATTTAAAAAAAAGTCCCGCTTGGTTTCTTGCTAGTTCTTCCCAGGACAGAGGTTTTTTTTCGAACCAGTGGTAATTAAACAAAAGAGTGACTGTCAATAAATATTATTTATAATCTATATTGAATAAAAAAGTTTCTGTTTCTGTTTTGTGTTAGTGAAAACTTTTTTGCTTTTTAATAAAATTTGGGTGACAAACGAGCACATAGTCCACCTGATGGTAAGTGGTTGCTGTGGCCCATAGACATGTACATCTATCTTCGTTTGCGAATTAAAATGCAGTCGCGTTGTCAACCGTGAGGACTAAGATGGAATGCCTCTTTTCTTGGAAACACACATATATATCTATAGGATTAAGCCTGCGAGAGAATAATATAGAATATTATATTAAATTAGACGTGTTTAGTCCGCCTAGCGTCAATTTTACGTACCACCTTCAAATTCAAATATTATTTATGTTATATTATATGATATAGATGGCAATTTTACTCGATAGAAAATATTCTTTTGATTTATTACACTAAATTTAGGCTTTATCTATCTAAAAAATAAGGATTGTAGCATTTATTTACTGATAAATTAAACTTCTTTTCTTATATTTTATTTCGCACATGTGATTGAAAATTATCATCTATACATACATACAAATAAATAAAATTGAATTTTTGATTATTTTTTATTTTTATTTTTAATTATTATAATGTCAAAATTGTAGCTTTTTACTTAATGCATATGAAAGTATATACTGTACTTATCGACCGAGAGGTCAATCGACGTATTCAACTCGGCGGGGCAGCGTCCGGGAAACTACGACACATCTTCTCGTTAGACATACCTCACAACCTGAAAACGAAATTGTACAACCAGTGAGTGTTGCCGGTGATGCCTTACGGATCTGAGACGTGGTCCTTCACTGCTGGTCGTATGAGGAAGTCCAAGGTCGCTCAGCGAGCTATGGAGAGGGCTATGCTCGGGGTTTCTCTGCGTGATAAACTTAGAAATGAGGATATCCGTAATAGAACCAGAGTTGCCGACATAGCCCAATGGATTAGTAAGCTGAAGTGGCAGTGGGCCGACCATATAGCTCGAATAACCGACAATGGGGAAGAAAGGTTCTCGAGTGGCAGCCTCGTACCGGTAGGCGAAGTGTAGGGCGACCCCCCACTAGATGTAGTGACGAACTGGTAAGAGATGCAGGAAGTCGATAGATGCAGGTGGCTCAGGACCGTGCTTTGTGGCATTCCTTGGGGGAGGTCTATGTTCAGCAGTGGACTTGTGAAAGGCTGTAATGATAATGATGATGATGACTGTACTTATAATAAAAATACAATTTTTTAAACTTTTGTCTGTCTGCCCGTTTGTTCCGACTAATTTCCGAAACGGCTCGACCGATTGTGACGGGAATTTAAGTAACTTAGGCTACTTATATTTTAGAAACAGAATTAGGGTTCCGCGCAAAAAAATTAAAACCCCAAATAACACGGGAGCAAAGTCGCGAGGAAGCTAGTATATCTATAAATCATTTGCGCGAAATATTTTTATTTTATATTTCACTTTGACCGCGTGTGAGCTGCACATATATTTTTACACTTTCTTTAATTGTAGTCTAGTTGGTTTTCTTTACGGCCTAGAAGTCCGTCTGAGCTAGTACACTCTATTACCTGTTTCCGCCGTCATATTGCAGTGCTTGCTCTTCTGTGTACCGGGTTAAGCATGATCCGGGGTAAGAAAGCATAGTTACAGGCTGTGGGACATATAGATATGTAGCCACTTGCCATCGGGTGAACTGTAAGTTTGTTTGTCACTTTAGTTTTATAAAAAAACTAGCTGTTCCCCGCGATTTCGTCCACGTGGTATTTATTACGATTGAATTTCGCAAAATAATGAAAACCCATGAAGGGTTTTAATTATTTTGCGCGGAACCCTATTTTTGTTTTTGTAAAATAAAAGTAGTCTAAGTTACTCATAATATCAGCTATCTGCCAATGAAAGCCCAACAAAACCGGCCCAGCCATTTCGGATATTAGACGGAAAGAACAGACAGACAGACAAAAATTTAAAAAAATTATTTTGTTGTAAGTATCATATATATATTTTATATGCATTTAGAGAAAAAGCTGTTATTTTGACATTACAATCAGAACTTGAATTTCACGCATTTTCAATTAAAAAGTTGTTTGAGATTTTTTTCTTATTAATTTTTCTTCACCATTTGCTTATATTATTTATTGTGAACCTTGTCTGCAAATTTGGCCGGTTATTGCAAAATAACCCTGTATGTAAGATGGGTACCAACCCTAACAGAATCCACGTCAGAAAAATAGCACCATTAAAAATATTCAATAATATATTCTTAATAAAAAGTACATCTTAATCTTACCTTATGTAAGTAGCGTAAAAAAGGTAAAAATTTTATATACATTAGTTGAACTGCGTTCGCCTCCCACGCATGCAATTACCTGACGGCTTGTTTTTCTTTTGACGTAGGGCACTGAATTTGATATTTCCAAATATAATTACGTATGTGTGTACGCAGCTCATACGTTGTAACAAACGAGATGATAAAGAAATAGAAACCATAGATACCACTGTATTTAATGTTTTTATTACAATAATTTTTCAATTTGAAAAACAAATGGATATTCAATAACAAAATTACAAAGAAAAGATTCAACTTTATGTTGTATTTTGACTTCTATATATTTTTAATCTAATAATTAAAGGATCAGCACTAAAACTACTATTGCTATCGCATCGTTAAACTAACGTGTGCATTTTATTCAACTTGTTAACAAAGTGCAATGACGTGACAAACAAACTTACGGTCTAACTGTTCTTACTGTCTAACAATTGAAGTCCATGAACACCTGAAGCCAACTTCAAACAAAGAAGGCTACACATATGTTTTCGTCTCTAAAGATCAGTCTCTAAGGATTAATATGGAATGCCTCACAGCCTGTAAAAATACTGTCTCTCTATAACCTTCAGACCGGGACATAGCAGTGCAAAGACTGCTTTTTGGCACAGAATTTACTCCTAACCATAAAGGGGGACCTATCACTTAGCAAAACGGTACAATCTTTAATAGAACTAAGGTGACAAACTAGCTAGAATATGGGTAACAAACAAACACACAGTTCACCTGATGGTAAGAGGCTGCTGTGACCCACAGACATCTACCATCGACTAATTATCTGTCGTCGATTAAGAATCAAAATACAGATGCGTTGTCATTCTTGTAGACTAAGATTGAATGCCATAATAATGAATGATGAATGCAATGAAAATTAAATATTTACTGCACAAAAAAGGAAAAAATACACCAATGAGTTTTCAAAATCCATTAATGTTATGTAAACCACAAACCAACAAAAGGGTTGAATATGGCTGCACTATAGAAGTATCATCATAAATACACTCGTATTATCTATAAACAGTATGATTATGTTCGTATGCGATTCTAGTTCGATAATATGAGGCCAAAATCTACCCAGTTACTAACATAAAAATTTGCTTAATGTGGTAGGTTTATATTTAAAAGCAGTAATTAGTAAGAGTTACTTCTTTTTAAATAATAATAGTATTAATATATATATAAATCATAAACAGCTGAAGATGGCGCAGCCCTCCGCGCAATCCGCAAAGTTCGTGTAATCCGCAACACGAAGCGTGAGGGACTAATGAGGTCCAGGGTGCGTGGAGCGGAAGCCGCCACGGCGCCCGTGCTCACTTTCCTCGACTCTCACGTGGAGTGCAATGTGCACTGGCTCGAGCCTCTCCTGCAGAGGATAAAAGAGGTGAGTGAAGTCTTATTACAAATTTAGCCTTTTTAGATTTTTTCCCACAAACGTTCATATTTTGTTTCCAGGTTTTATTATCGAAATATACATATCGAGAATATACAAATCGGTTCCGATCACTGAACGCTTTTGATTGTAATAATAAAGTAAAATACACAACCTAAATACGTCTCATTGCTGGGCACAGGATTCCTCTCATTTCTAAGAGGGTTATGGTGCAAATAGTTCTCCGCGCTGTTTCTTAGCATTTTGGCGGACTTTGATGTCCTCGAAGTTTTTTATTCCTCAGACATAATGCAGATTTCATCACGATGTTTTCATTCGCCGCCGAGCATATTATGGGAAATCAGCACTTGAAATTGAACGTTGGTGCAGGTGGTTCCTCTCTGGCTTCTTCTGAAATCATATAAATATTTGCATTTTTATTGTAAACCAAAAAAGAAAAACTAACTCCTCTCCTTTAAAACCCTACTCTAACTCTAAGAAATTGTTTGTAAAAGTCGGATGAAAAAACTGAATAAAGGCAACCGTATTATAGAAGTCGAAGTAACGTAGTTTGCCTCGAAAAGGCGAAATGAGATCTGAATATTTGTTGCCCTACCTACTACCTATGTATAATTTATATGCAATAAGGCAAGGTTATATACAATGTCAGAAGCATTAAACATTTGCCCAAAAGGGATAAGACTTACAAAGCAATAGCAAGAGCAATAGGCAGGTTCTAAATGTACGTTTGTATGCGTCCTATCTCGTGGCTTATATCTTCCTTCCGTCAAGAGATACCCATAGGTGTCGCTGGATATCCGCTAGAAGTAGGGAGAGCGGTATTGTCTTATGCTAACATCACGCAGAATTGAACATGCGAATGCAACTGCATTAGTCACAGTATAATTTAAAAACATACTTATATCAACATTATAAAAATAACTTGGTTATCATGACTGACCCCCGAGCATAAAGCAGTTACTGTAATGAATACAAGGAACTAAAAGGTTCAAAGACTTAAACATAATAATATTGATGTACATAATATTTATCAGACTCAATATTTTGTAGTTGTCGGACAAAACTTTTTTTAATTTTTTTTTATTTAAGAATCATAATTCAAATGCGATTTCGCCCCTGAGTACTTAAATGATATGTCTCGTTTTGATATGGCGATCGTCATTCCGCTTGCTAAGCTACTTACAACAGGAGTATAGAGTCCAGCAGTTAAAACTTATCAAGAAGAAGAAGAAAAAAAACATAAGTTTGTTAAGTCCGTTCAAATATAAGAGCATTTCAAAAACAATCATAACAACATTGTAAGAAAATTGTATTGATAATAAAAGCAGAAGTGTTACATTCACTCCCGTAAATAATTAACGTGACTCACGTTACTAGGCCAGCATAAGCGAATTGGACGCTACCTAGATTTAAACCTACCTACCTACCGTGTGAGCAGTGAACGGTCGTCCGAGATTGTAAAATGAGTGTTGAAAGTAAAATTCAAAATGAATTACTACTGCATACAATGTAGCAATCGATTGAGAAATTATTTCTATGAATAATGCTAAACCTCGACTGCTCTGAACAATGTATCTTTCTTACAATGTAGAACATTATTATGTGTAAGCCGCTTTAATATTTTATTAAATTAACTACTCCCTTGTGTATGCTACTAGCTAAGAATGTATATTATTTAGTTCACTTCGTAAGTCTGAATAATTTTCACTGCTAATAATTCTTACAATTTGTTAGATTGATCTTTTAGTATTGAATTATTATCTGTATCTTTTCCCTCTTTTTTTCTTAATTCCTACTGATTATAGATCAATAGGTCAATTCACTATATAGTTAATTCACTAGTGCTGATGTCTTTTTGCAGTCATTGCCTAAATCATTATTTCGCAGTGGGCCATTGAAAGCGGAGTAAGGACAGTATCAGTGGCTAATTTATATGTGCTTTATTTCGTAAAATTAGACAATGTTCATATATTTCTACTCGTTCTTTCTCTAAGAACATCGTTAAAAGGTCAATTTTTGTCAGACATTAAAAGTCTATTGCTTGACTGTCTTTTCAAGTATGCGCCATTAGGTAAGCATTTCTTGAATCAGTAATTCATTGAACTGATTGGGTAGGTGTTTTGGCGCGAACGTCATTATTAAATTCTCTTTATGTCAAGCATATTGCATTTTTGATGAAATTTCCACTGCGACTCCATCGTTGGAGGTTCTTGCATCGTGTGTAGGTGACATACCATCGGGCAGATAAGGTTAATAAAATAAGACAAATTAAATTATGAGAACTTTTTTCGAAATTAGTTATTATTTTATTATTTTTCAAATATCGTCATCTTCAAGTATTATGAAAATTATACTCTTAAATGCTAGTCCTCTCTAAAAAAAAAATTACAGATTATTTGCTATATTCAAAATTTTAATATAAGATTATCTGTACGTTATTTTAAATTTATCTGGAAGTTAGCCACACTTTTTCTTAAAACAGTCTGCTTTCTTAAACAGAAGTCCTTTTAATTTTTAAATTAATGATATTAAAAAAGATTTTCCAACTATCTTAAATGTTATACTTAGGATAAAACACAACTTAAGGCGAGCATTAAAACAGAAGCAGAAACAGAAACTTATTTATTCAATATATAATAATACTTAATGAATGTCAATTTACCACTGGTTTGGAAAGAAACCTCTGTCCTGGGCAGTGGCGGATTAAAGGCTATAGCCCCGGGCCCCACCTTGAGAGGGGGCCCCGCGGTCTCGAATCAAAAATAATTTTTTTAAACCTGTTTCAAATAATTTTGAATAAAAGTAAAATGTTTTCCAAAGAAAATAAGTTAACCAAAATTACCTACGATTTTTAATTTGGTATTGGTTAACTATTTGTTGGCCAACGATGGGTGTAAATCTGTGATGAAATAACGAAATAAGTGGTATTATTAGCGAATGGGTTGGGAAAAACTGCGGCTAACGCTGCAGCAGCAGTTGGTCACGGTGGCGAATGGTTGGGGGAAATTTCTACCAGAGAATGTTAATGTTTATCGCGCAATAATTTGAGTTATTCATTCATGCCAAAGGTTGTGATTTTCTTTTTTACTTATATAATTTAAATAAATTTATATGAAAGATTATTTAATAACAATTCTAAAGAAAATAAAAAGAGAAAAATTAAATCTGTTGATACTTACATATAAATAACTTTGAAAATGCGGTTAAAAAGAAAACTATAAAAATATCGTATCAATGTTGTAAAGACTACGAGGACTTCACCAGATCGCCAGTAAACGAGGTAGGGACAATTAAGGACTAGATAGTGCAATGACAGAGAGATATCTCTGTGTGCCTAGTGCGAGATGTTATTTTTACGCACTCGATACCGAGAAAGTTAATTACAATTTTTATGGAATAAAATCAGCGCTTATTAGTGGCAAAAAAGTGCTCACAAAGGCAGTGGTACAGTCTCTTATTTATCTAAAACTATAAACGAAGAATTTATAGAGTTAATGGCTGCAAATGTATTAAAACGTATTATTGATGAAATACACAGTGCAAAATATTGGGGACTCGTCGAGATTCTACCCCAGATATATCCCACATCGATCATTTGTCAGTCATTTTCCGATACTACTTAGATGGTCACGTTTATGAACGTTTTTTCTGCTTTTTACAAATGAAAAGTCATAAAGTTAGGTCGCTTAGTAATGACGTATTAGATTTACTACAGGAGCACGGTATCGACATAAAAATTGCAGAGCTCAGACCTATGACAACGCTTCCAATATATCCGGTGAATATATTGACTTCAACCTTGTATTAGAGAAAAAAATGAATTAGCGTTTTACGTGCCTTGCGCTGGCCATTCTCTAAACTTAGTGGGAGAATGTAGTGTCGACGTATGTTTTGATGCTATAAATTTCTTCGGAATTTTACAGCAGCTATATGCATTTTTTAGTGCATCACACATCGGTGGGACATTTTAATCACTGAGAATTCTAAAACAACGAGCTTATCGAAAACGAGATGGTCATGTCGCGGAGACGCCACAAAAGTTTTAGTAAAGAGTCATGGAGGTATTTGTAGGGCTCTAGAAATTTTAGCAAATGACGAAGAACAAAAACGCGAAACTCGGAAAGAAGCTGAAGCTTTATTGAAACATATAAAAAGAAACTTGAAAATGTTTTTATGGCGATTCTATGGAATAATGTTTTAAGCCGCTTTAACGCGACTAGTCAATACCTTCAAAAAGTTGATACAGATTTAATTTCTGCAAATAACATGCTACTTTCATTAGTGGATTTTGTGGCAGATTTGCGAGATACATTTTCTGACATTGAAAATCAAGCCAAACAACTAAGTAATATTGTGGATCAAGAATATTCTGATGCAAACAAACGAAAGGTCACAAGAATGCTAACCGACAAAGAATCACAAGCTAGTAGCTTAAGCCCGGCTGATAAATTCCGAGTAAATACATTTTATGTGATTATAGACAAATTAGTTGCAGAGTTGCAGAAACGGAGTGAAGCATACGATCGCATCATTCAACTATTTGGCTTTCTCACACAATTATTATTTATAGAGACAGATGTATTAGAAAAAAAATAGCAAATCTCGTAAAGGTTTACTCTGACAATTTAGAAAAAAATTTATCAGTTGAATTGAAACAATTTATACCATGTTTAAAACAGCAGCCTAAGGGCTTTTTTCCAATCTTACAGGAAAAAACACAAGTGCAAATGATGAAATCTTGTGTCCCTTAAAAGATTTAAATTGGCTTGTAGATTTAGACATGATACAAGTTTTTCCGTACAACCTATATTGCTTGCAGGATACTACTTACACTTCCAATCGCAAATTGCGAATCAGAAAGATCATTTTCAGTTTTGAAAAGAATAAAAAACATGTATCGATCAACGATGTCAGACGACAGACTATCATCTTTAACAAGATTAAGCATCGAAGTTGACTTATTGAGATCAATTGACTTCGATCACTTAATT